GCCCTCCATCTTTCAATTACATATGCAATTGTTGTGTGAAAAACACTCCAAGACCTTGTAGTTGATGAACTACGGAACTATCACACACAAGCTATGCAAAGATAAAGCACACACAAACTGAAAAGTAAACAAGCACACAAAGAACACAAGAATTTATAAAGATTCAACATTGTACCTACGTCCTTTTGGTGATCCCAAAGAAATTCAATAGTATGAAAGAACCCCCTTTGCTCTCTCACAAATCGCTGTTTTCTCTCACCCTTGGCTCAAACCCAATTTGATGCCTTAGCTTTCTCACGTTATCATAACCTAGTGCTAAAGTGCCTATTTATATGTCATAGGGCTTTAGTAAAATTATACAAGGAATAGGAAACTTCAAACACCCCAAAATTAGGAGAGAATCTGTCAAGATTAGCCACGAATACGCTCCTCCCGCTCAAGCACCACTCGCATTGCTAGAGTCTGAGTTTTGCCGCTCTAGCTCCTGGGTCTGGGCAAGAAGTACTGCTCTACAGCTCGAGCACCTGTAATTTCTGCTAAAGTAGCAGAGCCCAATCAATTTGACTAAAACTCATTTGAACGTCTTTTTCCTTCACTCCTTCCACATCTTTAGGTGAGCCAACATCAACAATCTCCACCTTGGCGAGCCTAAATACCTTGTGAAAATCATTGACCTCTAGAACCTTTTCAAACCTTTTGGAAATCGTCCTAGTAACTCCCAAGAGCTCCACCACACTCTTTAGCATGTAACAAGATTGAGCAAGCTTAAACAATGTTTGAACTTTTTAGCTGTGACTGGCTTGATCAAGCAATTTGAATCGGTCTCATTCGTATGAACCTTCTTTATTGCAATATCCCCATTGTTCACCCAATACTTTATCCAGTGGTCATGTACATTAATATGCTTAGGCCTTCTGTGAAACACTTGATTCTTGATTAATCATATAGCACTTTGACTGTCACTTTGTATCACCACCAAGTCTTGAGCTATCCCGAACTCTTTAGCCATCTTGTCAGTCATAACGCTTCCTTAGAAGCCTCCGTTAGTGCCATATACTTCGCTTCGGTAGTAGACAAGGCAGTAACTAATTGTAGCACCACTCTCCAACTAATTGGTCCTTCACCACAATTGAAAACATACCTTGTGATGGATCTCCTCTTGTATATGTCTCATGCATAATCTGAATTCACATAACCCGACACACATGCCTTTTTTTGTTGTCTTTCAAACAAAATCCCAAGTTTCTTCGTGCCCTTCAAATATCGAAAAATCCACTTCACCGCATTCAAATGTTGTTTGCCCAGATTTGTCATGTATCTTGAAACTACATTCACAGCTTAAGCTAAGTCGGGGCATGTGCAAACCATTGTGTACATGAGACACCCCGTGCTTGCATACATAACCTTACTCATTTCATTATTCTCTTTGTCACTAGAAGGACTTTCATGGGCACTTATTCTAAAGTGCCTTGTCGAAGAAGTAGACACGGGCTTATAATCCAACATGTTGAATCTCTTAAGTACCTTAGATATGTACTTTCCTTATCTCCATTCCTAGGATCTTTTGTGCAGGACCAAGATCCTTCATGTCAAACTCCTTCCTAAGTAGAATCTTCAACTCTTGGACCTTTGACATGTCTTGACATTCGATTAGCATATCATCCACATAAAGTAGCAATAGGATGATCTTTCTATCCTTAAACACATAAGAGTACACACAACAATCCGATTCGTATCTTCTATACCCAATCCGCAGCATATAGGTGTCAAAGCGCTTGTACCATTGTCTTAGAGATTGCTTGAGCCCATATAGAGAATTCTTCAACCTACATACTAGATTTCATTTACTTCTTCAACAAACCCTTGAGGTTGACTCATGTAGATGTCTT